AGATAGAACGGTCTTAGTCCTACTGGAATAAAACTGTAGGAATACACCCTACCAAAGGAACATTCTGTAAAATGTCTAAAGTAATAAACCAAGGCAAAGAAACCTGTACGCCACTCTGGACAGAAAGATTAAGAAAATCCCAGTAACCAAGTTCACCTATTTCCTGTGTACAAATGAAGGAGAAATTTAAGCCAGCCACAGGAATATTTATTATTCATGTAGCTAGGAAGCAAATGACCTATAACGTACAGTTTACAGAAATCAGCTACCCTTCTCAAATAAAATGAAAAAAAAAAAAAAGGAGAGGGGGAAAAAGGAATTAAATATTTGAGCCAGACACGGTGGTACATGCCTGTAATCCCAGCACTCTGGAGGCTGAGACAGGAGGATCACCATGAGTTCAAAGACAGCCTGAACTACATAGCAAGACCTTTTCCCAAATATATATGTATTTTTTTAGTATTTAAAAACTTGTTCTTCCTAAAATGTACCAATAAACTAAAAGCAAAAACAAAAACAAAACTTGTTCCTGGGCTGGGGATTTTGCTCAGTGGTTCCAGCAGCTGCTTCGCAAGCGCAAGGACCCCCCCCTCAATAAATAACAAACAAAGTACCAATAACAAACAAACAAACTTTACTTGACAGAAGGCAGGCTGTTTTTTCACCTCTACTTTAAAATCAGTACTGAAGGCTGGGGATTTAGCACCATGCCTGCCTTGCAAGCACAAGGTCCTGAGTTTGATTCCTGGTATCAAAAATTTAAAAAATAAATAAATAAATAAAATCAGTACTGAAATTCAAAAAGTCTTCAACAATTTCTAGAAAGATTAAGTACATCAAGGGTTGAATCTGTTTTTTGGTTTGTTTTTTTCGTACCGGGGATCAAACTCAGGTCCTTGTGCTTGCGTGACAGGCAGCGGCACCACTGAGCTAAACGCCCAGCTCTGAATCTGTTTTTTAAGTACTATAGGAATCTTTTATGGAAGTATGCAGAACCTGAGCCTACTATTTAAATTACCAGGACTATCTATTTCAAAGCCATTATTCGGAGGTGCTGAATACCTGTTGCACTAGCATTGGTCTTAGTTGCAATTTTTTTCCTTTTATACTGCTTTTTGGTGGTTTTGTCTTGGTTTTCTGAGACAGAATCTCAGTATGTGACACAGGCAGGTTGGCCTCAAACTTGCAGCAATCCTCCCTTCCTTAGCCTTCCAAGTGCTACACTGTTTTTTTAAAATGGGGTCTTGCTATGTTGCATAGGCCGGCTTTGAACTCTCCATCCTCCTGCCTCCACCTTCCAAGTCAAAGAGATTTATTTACAGGTGCTGATTACCTGTCTGGCTGAAATGGTTTTTCTTTTTCTGAGACTGGGTCTCACTATGGTACCCAGGCTGGTCTTGAACTCCCAGGTTCAAATTATCCTCTCACCTTAAGCTCTCAAGCGTGAGACTTCAAGTAAGTACCACACTGGCCACAATGTTCTTTTTAATTTTATTTTATTGTTTGCAATTTTCTTAAGAAGGCAGAATTTGTGGCCAGGGATTTAGCTCAGCAGTTCGGTGGCCTGCCTTGCAAGCACAAGGACCCAAGTTCAATCCCCGGTACAAAAAAAAAAAAAAAAAAA